AGCAGGAGGATAGAAGAAGTTAAGGGTGTTTATTTTAGCATTGTGCTTATAGTTTTGCAGAGAACAGCTATTATTCTATTCATTTTAGTTCATGAGATTTACTCAGAATATAAGACACTTTCTGTTAATCATTCTACAGGTTGGCAACAAGCCAAGAGGGCATAAGCTATTCGCCATGTTTAAACACTTGCCAGGAGACTTCTTTTATTGTTTTCAGAGGTCATGTATGTTTGTTTTGTCAAGGGAGAAAGAAAAAGAGAGAAGAGGAGAGGGAGAAAGCTCCTCCTATGGGATACGGTCATGCTGCAATTCCTTCTCCTCCATTTCTACATCCTTTGGGATCTTGCTCATCCACACACTCAAGCCGAGCATATTTCTTAAGCCACAAGGATTGGGGTTGGAACCGGGGTCTGTCACATAAGACCTGGCTCTTTTTAACCACTAAATCTTGGGGCTAGCCTTTTGGGATACTTTCAGCTGGCCCGCTGAAGAGGGTTGTGTCTGTCTCTAACTAGATGACACAGGCTGAAGTACCAGAGCTATACGTCCCCAGTGAGATGGTGCATGACTTGGCGGATAGAACTGATCTGGGAAACAAGGGTAGGAAAAAGTATTGACTGAGTGCTGATCAGATTATGAGCACAGGACTACGTAATTGTGAAGCAGACATTTTTATTGCTATAGGAACCAGGAATCCCGGGAATCTCACTGGGAATGGCAGTACTGGAGTTAGTGACTTGAACCCAGGTCAGTGCCCATGCTTGCCACTGTGCCACAGCTGAGCATATGCCACCTGTCTGGGACAGGTCATGTCTTTGCTCTGAGAATCTTCTCTTGTACTTAGGAGATAGTACCTCCCTTTTCTGATCTGAACTGCTCACCTCTGAGTTCCCTGTATGCACCTGCAAATGCTGCTTTATTCTGGGACCAAGTCTATTTGCTTTAGGAGGGAATTGCAGTAGCAGCTCAGTCTTTCCAGAAAGAGTCTCTGGCTTCCAGTTCCCAGTGCTGCTGGGTATTTGGGCTTCTCAATTACATTGCAAATGCCTATGATTCACTATTTGTTACCAACCTTCGGTCTTTTCGGGTCTTATTGATTTCCCATTTTTCTTCCTCACATTAAATATTTGTGTTTTCTGATCTATCTCCCTCCAGCACATTAACTTACAAGCCATCAATGTTATTTCCTGCCCAAGCTCGCTGATCTCCTGGTTCTTTGTCTACATAATGATTCTGTTCTCACAGGCGTTAGCATTTTCCCAGTGAGTGAGACCGTGAATTTCATTAAGGCATTGTTTACTCCTAGATCATTAATGAAGGATCTGCAGCAGATCGGAATGAGCTGAGAGCACCCTCCAGAGCCTCCCTCATGCCTCCCTGTGGCCTTTTCTCCTTCCCCTTTGTTTGGGCTCGCTCTGGAATCCTGCTGACAGTACCTGTTCCTCTGCCAATCTGAGTAACTGTTCAGCGGAAGATTTCAGAAGACTCTGTGTTAAATAATTAGCAAAAGCTACCACATATGACATCTGTTTTATCCTCTTTACTGTTAGCATTATAATTCTTTCAAAATCAATCACATTTATCCTGTGAATTATCCTTTTACCTGTTAGCATTTATTAAAACAAACATTTATTTTATAATGGTGCCACAGAGCTCGGTTAATTTTTAAAAAATGATAATGAGATTCAACCTTGTCATCTCTTCTGAAAATCAGCAGCATATTTGACTTTTCCTTCCAGGATCCTGGGGCCTTGCAGCTTCATGAGCCTTAAAAGTACTTCAGATGGCTGCATGTTTTCTGATAGGAACTCTCAGTAATGTTGGCAAAGTAGGTGTTTAAAAATCTTGGTTGAACCAGGCAGTGGCATTGCAGAAACAGAACTGGACCCACATGGGAAGATCCTGGGTTTGCATCCAGGGACCTCTGTATATAACAGGGCATATGCATGCGTGCCCATGATCCATGCTGGCTAAAACTAGGGTTGGACTGTGGCATGAAGACCCTGTTGAGGGGATGCCTGTCGCTCATGATGAAATAAATAGACGTAGAGAAAGAGGGGAAAACAAACAACTTGATGAACAGACTTAGACTCTACCAGGGACACTTGGATATCTCTCTGGGCTGTGGTAGCCACACTTTTACAGGAGTGGAGAGAACCTGAGCGCATGTCAGCTAAGTCCAGCTAACCACTGTTCATTCCTGTCCCCTAACGTTTTAGAAAGGAAGCGACCACTGCCATAACTCCACCCAGAAGATCCCACCAGAACGTCCTGCTTCTGAGAACTTCTTTATCACCAGTAAAGACTTTGGTTCTATATAATCTCCCCTTTTCTTCCCTCCTTTAAATGACTGCTTGTCCCCTATGTTCTTTTTTTTTTTTTTTGAAGTTTTTTTTTTGCTATAGGGCGCGTGTGCTCGCCAGAAAGTCAGAGAGAGACAGACAGAAAGCGAGAAATCACTACCCAGGGGCGATGGTCACGCCGCAATCCCTTCTGCTCCTTTCTCCTCTCGGGATCTTGAGCACATATGCACATGTGCCCAGCGTGAGTATAAGCCACTGGCTCAGGGATTTGAACTGCAGTCAACTGCATGAGAGTTCAGTGACATAGCCATTATGCTAACTGCTGGTCCTGTCCCCTGTGTTCTTGAGTTGCTATGAGGCCAGTCATCTGATAAAGGTACATAGTTATTGGTAATTTCTAGCATTTTCTTTCCAGGACCATTCAGATTTGAATAGTGCCAGGAGTTGGCCCCATTGCCCGGTGGTTAAGGGAGCTAGATCACATATGACTGACTGTGGTTAAAGTCCCAGACCCGATGGCTGGGAGAACATGCTGGGCACATGTGTACGCATGCCCCAAATGTTGACGAGATAGAGAAATAGAAGAGAAGGGATTGTGATGTGATCATGTTCCACTGGGAGGTACTTTTTCCTTTTCCTTCTCTGTGTCTCTCTGTGGCAAGTATAGATGCTCTCTGACTAAACAAACAAACAAACAAACAAAGCAATGCCAGCAGGATGCCAAGGAGGGATTCTAATCCATACGTGGGATTCAGGCATCTGTGTGGTGATGTTTATGCCAGGGGCATTCCTCAGTCCCCAGAACTAATGTACCATTCAGTCACAGCTGCCAGCACATTGTTCCTGAGGACAGAGTCTCTTGGTCACCTTTCTAACAATGTCTGATGGGAAGGTAATGAGCCCCATAGCCAGTTGTATTCCCTCCTGCATCAACTTTATAACCCAGAAGAAGTCAATTTTTTTCTCTCCCACCCAACTGAGTCTCTATCTCTATGAGAGGCCATTTCTCAGGGATCAGGAAAGAGACAATCCTTTCTTTTATGGGAAACTTAGGCTATACTGCCACAGGCTCTGGTTACAGGAGAACCTTTCTGAGGTGTTCTAGAGGGTTTTTATGGCCTTTTTATATCTCTTGTCAGGGCTGATAATAATCAGTATAGATGATCTCAGTTCATGAAACGAACCCAGTGTTACCACTGGTCGAGGAGACCCACTGAGAAGGAACCGACTTTAAACACAGATCAAAGAGGCCTGAGATCTTGAACCTGCATGTGTTTGCTCAGCTCAGATGCTTGCTTTTTGGAAAACTTTTATAAAGTTTTTTTCATGTAGCCTTTTGTAAAGAAACGTATTCAGCATCTTCTGTGGTGCTTTAGGCCAGAAATGTTTAAACCTTTCCAGTAGAATTATGTTTTGGTTCTTCGTTTTTGTTTTTACATTGCCAGAGGAAATATGTGCTTTCCAGAGAGACAGAGGGAGAGGAGGAAAGCATACTCCAAACGGATTTGGTTACATCATAATCCTTTCTCCTCTTTTTCTTCATCCTGTCAGGATTTGGGGCAATGCAGCACACATGCCTGTCATATTTTTCATGTTGCTGAGGTTAGGATGCAAACTGTGGTCAGCCATATGGGATCTGGCTCCCTTAACTACTAGACTCTGGGGCAAGCCTCTGTTTCATTTTTATGATGGTTTGCCTAATACTTTGTCATTCTCTTACAACCTTGGGAAGTAGACAAAGCAGCTGTGTTTATGTTCATATTAGAGGTGACATTCAGATTTAAAAAAAAAAACTTTCTCAAGAGTATTCAGAGATGGAACTTTGTGCTCTAACTATTGGGAATGTGGGGCCTCCACTTTCATTAGATTAGATATTCAAGACGATGAAACAGGCAACTCGTGTGCTTTTGTGCAGAGGGAGACTTCTTTCAAGGGGACCTAGATGGACCTAGGGTTTTGTGGAATTCACACGAGGAAAAACTCCACTATTACAAATTTTGCATCATGCAGTAATAGCTCTGCACTGGGACAATGTTCAAGTTTTAAAATATGAATGAAATCAGGATATAGATTTACCAAATCTACTAAGTATGTTAAGACAGAAGAAACTGCCAACTTGTGTAGGCCAGAAGAGGTAGAATATTAACAATTTCATATAGTTCTGACTAGTATGTCCTCTTGACCTTTCAGCACGTTTGATGGATTCATTCACTGGCAAGAGCTCATTAACTCTACAGTGTATGCAAAGTTTGGTGTTCTAATTCCTAGGACTAGAGATGTCAAGAAAATAAGGACTAGGTCACCATCCTCAGAGAACTGCAATTTATTCACATGGGAAGAGATGACAGAGTGTAAGAGAATCCTTACAAAGTGATGACATTGATAC